TATTTACAACCTTAGTCATTAGTTAAGATTTAGAACTTGTATTAACATTTAACTTTTAGCGAGGGAATTGTTAGTGACATCAAATCTGCAGGTAATTAATACCTACTCCGAATCAATTATTATTATTATTTCTTTTTCATCAGAGAGAAGAAAAACTGTACTTTTATCAAATCAATCAATAAATTGATTTCACCTTTGATGAAAGGATGCGACGAAGCATAAAAGTATATTTAAAAAAACGTATCACGTAGATTCATTGAGACAATTGTTAGCAATGAATTTGTTTGTCATGGCCAATGAGTGCTTCGTCGTATTCTAGAATCTGTGATCACTTTCCTTACTCAGACATGCAAAGACGCATCATGCATTGCACAAGATCATTAGAAAAGGTATCTTCGTAGCTCTGAATGAGAAACCAAGCGCAATTGAAGGATGCACGAATGGTGTAAAATGAGTAATCAGGGTACCGAGTTCGAATTTCAGTCGAGTTGATATAGCAGCTTTGCTTTTGAAATCGATCTTTTCTCCCCGTAGCTATGGGACGAACAGCCAGACAGGCTGAGCTGTATAGCGTTAGCTGGGAACCAGATTACCGCAAAAAAGAAATGGCAGCATACTGCGGGAAAATCATCTGACATGTCAATGATGCTTTTGATCGCCCAAGCGTGTATCGCGTATGGCACTTAGTTCTGATAAAAATATTTTTATTTCTTTCCGTGATAGAGACAAAATGGAGAGAGATAAATAAAATATATAAAAATCAAATCAAATAAAGATAATGGAACAAGGAAATTGTGGTCATCCACGTTTTCCTTAGGTCATGGAACATCAAAAAAGAAAAAGAAAAAACTTGTGTAAATTGTTGGCAGAACAGGGATAAAGAGAGACAGCAAAAGGACAAATTTAGTAAGAACTACAAAATACGGGAAATTGTGGAGGCCCATGATCATCCACGTCCTCGTTAGGTCATGACAGATCGAAAAAGTAAAAGAAAAAACTAGTGTACATGGTTGGTAGAACAGGGTTTAAGCGAGATATGAAAAGGACAAATTTAGTAAGAACTGCAAAATACGGGAAAGTGTGGAGAGCCATGGTCACACGGAACAATGAAGAAGAAGAAAAAGAAAAAGATGCAGAAGAAGGAGAAGGAGAGCATGTGCAAATGTTTGGCAGAACAGGGATTAAAAGATATAGCAAAAAGACAATCATTATTAGTATTTACAAAGGAGAAGAAATTGTGGAGGGTCATGATCGCTCATGTCCTGAAAGGCCAATACACGTCAAAGAAGAAGAACGTGTTTGTGTAAATGGTTGGCAGAACAAGGATTAAGAGATATAGCAAAAGGAAAACTTTACAAAGGACAGGAAATTGTGGAGAGCTATGATCATCCACGACCTGCAAGTAGATGGCACGTAAAAGAAATTTCACTGTGGTCTTTGATGTATTTCTTCAATATCCCTTGTACCTGTAACGGCATTCACCCGGGGTGGGTTGAGCCGGCTCCAATATTGGAGTTTCATGGGAATTTGGAATTCACAAGCGGTCCCCAAACCCGCATGTATAGCACATGAGATTTGATTATAGTGGTGAAGGTTTCGTGCAGGACCATCCACACTTTGAAGGGACGATTACAGAGACCTGGTGCACAACGTGCTACAAGGTCCCCAAACGACCCTCCGCAGGTTTTGAATTCAGAGTTTTTCCTTCTCCTAGACCAGTTGCCATCCAAGGCTATAGAGCCCAGTCTGTTCTGCTATTTACCCATAGCTGGAGGGAGAAGAAGAGGATTCACACCTAAGTAAGTGAATGTAATGGATTCGACTGGAATTCGAACTCGGCTCTCCGATTCCTCAATCCAAGTCGCTATCCTATTACTCCACCGTGCCTCCTTTTCAATCTTTGAAGTATTTTTTCTTTGGACAAATTGTTTCCTTTTATTTTTTTTCAGATTGATTAATTCAAGTGAATTGTCTTTTTCTTCCTTTTTAGTAAGAAATAACGATTCTTTCTGAAATTTTCTATTCGCCTTCGAAATTTTTTTTCCAATATCGTGGCATCAGATCAGACACTGTACAAGACAATAGTGATTTCAGTTCTCCAGTATTGGAAAGACAGAAGAAATAACATCAACTTTCAAATCTGGATCAAATAGAGGGATAGATATATATTTGTCTGACTTTGAATAGGAAACGGTTAACAAAAAAAAGAACACAACTGAAAGAAACATGATCGACAACTTACCTGGGTATGATGATAAACTACATCCGGCAGCAAGACATCTGATCGGGAGGTTTTGAAGAGCGTGGAACCACCTCTTAATTGCTGTTGTTTCCAGTTCAACCCTGATCCGGGGTGATAGCAATTAGCAAATGTTTCACTCCTAAACTGGGATCAAAACACTAAGTATATAAATACATTTTTATAGTAAAAATACCAGTAATGCATTTAAAAAAAAAATATTACTAGTAATGCATTTGAGTTTCAACAAAAAGCCTCTTTACAAAAATATGTCAATGAAACTTAATCTACAAACTGATTTATGACAAGGAATAAATATTCTATTCATACGGCATTAAATAACTCATTGAGGGATATATGCCGTAAAACAAAATAAACCAAACCAAACCATGATTGCTAACGTCATGAAGGGTTATAATACATAAAAAAAGAAGATACTCTGTGTATTTCTACTATTAAGATGGTTTGCAAGTTTTACTTATTTTTAAGCAACTCACCCCAAGCAAGGCGGCAGTGCCACTAGTACGCAAGGGGCTACAGAGAGTGAGAGTAAGGGAAATGATTTGGTACAGGGTGGGGTTGAGGAAAGAATATAAAGAAGAACGGAAAAAGATTTTAAAAAAAGAACTGGGATCAAGGGATTAGAACATGTCGATTGACATTACATTTAAATTTCTGAAGATTATAGTTATCAGGGAAGCAAGTAAGCGGAAGGGAGTTACACTGTCGGGAAGTGCGAGAGAAGAAGCTTTTGGAATAGAAGAGCCGGTTACATTTAATTGTTTCGACAGTAAAAAGGTGGGTGGGAACGAGATATCAACCTAGTAGCACGTTTAAATTCATATCTCGTCAGAGCAGTTGCCATGAATATATTTATAGAAAAGACAGTGGAAGACCACATTACGTCATTGAGAAAGTGACTGGAGTCGAGACCCCAAGTCAAGACCGATCACATTGTATATCCTTCCAAAGCAAATCTTTTACTTCCAACTCAAAGAGGCAAATCGGAAAAGAAAACGTTTACAAAGGTCCACAAGCCCAACTGAAAGAAACAAACAAAACAAGACCATAATCTATATATGGCAACAATCTCCGAATCTTTTGGAATGAAAGAGACTATGTTGAAGACTTGATATGGAAACTCCAGGTATTATCTTCATTTTGAATATTACTGTCACATCTAGTTTTGATCTCT